AATGTAAGAATTAATGGCAGGTTTAGATTTAAGATTGGATCATGTGATTCAATCTTGCTTAACTAAATATAATTGCAATAATGCTAGATTCACTAAAACTATTTAGCAAATAATGTGTTCTTAGTATTTTGTTGGACGAGTTTAATAAGCGCTCTTATAGAAAAATTTAATAAACCAGTGATTAGGTAGTTGTTTTCATTTATTTGTTCCCTCTTATGAGCAAGTAAATCGCTGGAAACTATGTTTTTCCCAAATCTATTATGGATGTGCTTATGAGTGTGGCCGCAACGACGCTTCTTCAAGTGATGGTGGTAGGATTTGTTTAGGTTCATGGGTTGCTTTAGGGTTTCAGTTATGTTAGGTATCTGGGCTTTGCCTGGGTTTATGATTAATTGTAGTTATGTGGGCTAGTAATTTTAGTGCACTTCCCTTTACTTCATAGGGCCTTCTCTAATAGGGGAAAAGCCTTCCATTTCCGTCAAATGACCCTGCCTCCCTTGGCACTTTTTTTTTTTTGGGGTCAAAATCAAATTTCATTCAATAGAAGGCTAAATCCAATTACACCTGTGTGAACCTGAAAAATGAGTTTAACCAAATGTAATACAAAAGGCATATAGCCCACTACAGTCATTAAACTCATGAAAGACATAAAGTCCACATAAAGGCATAAAGCCCACATAAAGGCAAAAGCCCACGAAATAGCACTTAGGAAACCCTAAAACAAAGAATAGAGAAATGTTGCACCACCCAAAGCCAACGAGCCAAGCCACCAATGGAACACCACCACAACCGAATAGAAACTAATAACCAAAGCTACAAACAAAAAATGGTTGTGGACAAGTCACCAAAGCTACAAAGAGTGCTACCATAATCCAAGCAATTAGTGACACGTGCACTTTGAAAGCATCCTCCCTCCATGGAGTAGAAGAACAAATGATGGTGGTAGAGAACAAAGACGAGACATAACCACCGATAATGGGTGGAGAAATAACATGGCTTGTAAACGCACGAACATAAAAATAAAGCCGATGATGCCGAAACCACCACAGTCACCGCCCATGCCACTGCCGCACTGTGAACTCCTTAAGTGACTTTCTGACTTACTATCAGAGCCAGGTTAGCCCACATGTGAAAACCTAATGGCCACACGTGCTCCACGTCACCAATATGTGTTGTCCACGTGCTAGGCTTAAAATCTTGTCACACGTGCGGGGGCGTGTGAAAATGTGAAGGTAAAAAAATCTTATATTGGAAAGTTAGACAACCTTGCAAAAGCTTATAAGTAGTGGGCTTAAAAGATAGAAACTGGAGACATAAGCCTCAAAGCCTCAAAGCTCACCCACACAAAAAGGGAATGGGCCACAAAATTGGACCTAAGGTATATTCCTTTTTCACATACTGTCTTCTTATTAACTGGGGAAATATGTGTTCCCACATTTATTATGATAGGACTCGCCCCGAATTCCTCGTAACCCTGGACGAATCCTGTGGAATTCCCGACATCACCCCGACGTCGGGCCCACCTACTAAAACTATGTCCTCTTTTGCCAAAGATGACTAAGGGCTCAAGATTTTCTGCCCAAATTTCGGCAGAGTCTCCCTTGTAAATTGAACTTTCCCCAAAATTTCCACTTGCATAAAACACATTTAACAATACCAACAGGCAGCATGCACAATATAATCTCATGCAATTCATGTAATTGGCCTCCGACCTTCAAATATTCCCAAACCAAACTACCAACAAAACTCTTAAGTCAAAAGTACCTTAAACAGGGCAATTATAATTTCAAACCCCCTTATGAATGCCAAATGAAAATTCCATCAACTAACTTCCCATACATCCAACATACGAGGCTAAAGTTTAGCCCGCAGCTATACCTAGGCGGTATCCTAGGCTGCCTACGTACCCTACTAAGGGATCAAGTCACACGTAGCTCTTTCCTAAAACCATTCTACTTTAAATCACAAATCACCAATCACAATCTCACATATCTCC